GATGGACTTGTGACCTGTCCAGGGTATAGCCCGCTTCTCGCAAACTGTCTGCTGGATATGGGCACCAGTGACCCCCATGCCCTGAAAAGGAAGAAGCAGGCAAAATATAATGGATAGATAAAAAAAATACATTCTTCAAATTCTGCATTTATTAGTGATAACAGTCCAGAGGACCAGACTAAGATTTTTCTACCTGGATTATTGAGCATGCATCAGGATATTAGTGATAATGTTACTTTGACTCAACGTTTTGTGATATTCAACCATCATGATCTTAATTCTTTGCCTGCCATTAGCCCCAAAAATTTAACTTTCGCAACACTACATCTAGAATAACTTGGCTTTATTAATCACTTAATTACAGCTCTGCTGCTGTGGTGAGACTCCTATGAAGTTCCTGATGAGCTCTCTCTCCTGAAATGCTTCAGGAGAGCAGAAGCAGAGGCACGACAGAGCTGTTAAGTACTGGCCTTGTCAGCAGAAGTAGCACGAAGCAGGAATCGCTTCTCGTCTCCTCAGCTCTGATCCAACTCTGCTCTGTTTGGGCCTCAATGCTGGCGCTGGATCTTGCTAATCTTTCCAAGGGTTTTTATTCAAACTGCCAGCTGGACACAAAGAGACAGGAAACTGATTTTTTCTCTCTCTCAGAGAGAGGCAAGACAGAGAAAACTGACAAAGATGATGAGATGAGAGGGCAAAAAAAAAAAAAAAAAATAAAAATAAGAAAAACCCACCAGAAGAACACGCTTCTGGAGATATTCCTTCTTAGTGAGAAGACGGCAACTAAAGCTGCTTCCTTGTATGACCATCCCAATATGACACAATTTTTCCTTCCTGGGTTTTGGATGAAAAATCTGGGACTTTTCATCCCTTACCAGTTTATTTTATTTAACAATCTATAAACTTGCAAAAATTAAATTAGGAAGTTGGCTTTGTGGATAATATCCTGGTGATGGACAAGGCAGGTACAACAGAAGTACTGTGTGGCTAGAAAGATACTGCAAAGCAGAAGCCAGACAGCTGAAAAAAATCATGCCAGAACAACAGAACGAGATCACTCACAATAAATAAATAAAATAGCAAAGGTTTCCCCTAGTTTACTTGCCTTGACAGGGCCTCAGTTCTGTTGACAGGGCGGGGCGCCCTGCTCGTATAATGACTGAACAGTTCATAACAACATAGGTTGTAGGATCATTTTATTATATTGCACTGTTTTGAACTGAAAGTAGAGAAGGTTCAGACAAAAAAAAAAAAAGACATCCTACAATATCTGAGCATTCATTTTAATTTTAAAAACAGAAAATTACAAGATATTCTGTTCAGATTAACCAGCACAACCAGCAGGTTTGATATATCACCAAGTGATAGTTAGCTGCTGTTAAACAGTAATCTTTTCTAAATTTATGGCTAGTAACTGAGAAGGAAATTGTGTTGTTAACATCTCTCTTCTCTTTATACCTAAAGATCCCCAACCTTCACTGCTGGAATTTGAGTGAGTGACCTGCAGGCATTGACTGAGCCTTCTCATGTTGCACCATCTGTTGGGTCCACAGAACAATGCTGGGCTTCTGAAGACAGCCAAGCTTTTACAGTTCAAGTACATCCAACATCAGGCTTTACTTTCACAGGCTGCCTCATCCTGTAGCTCCTGCTGTCTGCTCTTCAGTTCTAAACATGGTAGCTCTCCTGTCCAACTGGTAGTCTGCTTCTCGTTTCATCTGAACACATAAGGAAGACGTCTAAGAAGAAAAGAGGAAGATACTCTCTCCCTCCCTCAGCCTCACTATAGAGGAAGGGGACTCCTTGATCTTAGCCAGAACATTTATGGAAATAATAGAAATAAACTGGGTCACTGGGATCCTGTAACTGCCCCACTTGAACATTTTACAAACATAATGACAGCAAACAGATGTTGTCCCCAGACAGCCTCTGGACTGCTCTGGGACTAAGATTGTCCAGCATTTTTGGACTTTTGCTGGAATGATTCCCAGGAGATTGCGGGGGAATTTTTGAGATAAATACAAGCAAATATTGGACATTTGGGGCTTTAAATGGAACATTTTATGACAAGTACAATGCCATGCTGCTGCTCTGGTATGTTACAACAGCAGCAAATAACTTGCATATTTAAGATAATCGTATTACCATAGTTGTTTTCAGATTTAATGAAGAAGCCATCAACATGAGGCTGTTTTTACGTTAAGCTTATATTTACCCAACAAGAGGAAGTTGTGATAGGATTGCAGAGCAGACAAGCCCAACATGTCTGAAGCTAATCTGCTCAACAAAACCAAAGTTAAACATCTGGGAAACCTTTAATTCTCATAATCTAATGTAGGTTCATTTACAATTAATTTGACAAATAGACAAAAATCTCAGAAAAATCTTATTTACCCGTAACAATCATTATAAACTACACTGCCGTTTTGTTGGTTTATGAACTTTATCATGAGTAGACAAAACCAACTTAATCCAATTTACTAGATTTTAACAATAGGTGTGTATTCAGGTTTACAATAGCTCTGTCTTGTGTACAATACTGTACTCACTTTATCCAAATCAAACAGGTGAAATAGTTTCAGTCACTTATTTAGAAAATTTTAAGAATGCAATGCACAAACACCAGATATTGTTTTCATTGAACTTTGAACACACTTTTGTTAAGCGTGAAATGTCAGTTAGGCTAAACAGGGATAGAAGCCAAAATATATATAAATAAAAATCTGGGAAGACAGAGGGGGGCCCTTGGGAGACAAGATCTCTCCAGTTCTCACCAGATCCATCACTCTGCTGTTCATCCAGTGGCTGTGTACTAAACAGGAAACTATAATCTCAGACTCGCACAAAAACTATATCTTTTGGTGTCTTTGTCCTTACACTAAACAGCTCGGGGTCATAATGGTCCATTAAAAAGGGACTCATTCCAAAGTATGAAACAAGATTTGTCTGAATTATATCCGCTCTGTGTCGTTCGGTAAGGTTTTTACTCCAGTAGTTTTCCAGATAGATTAATAAAGAAATTCTGAAATGTGGGTCTGCGCTCCACGAAAACAAAGCACTCAGCTGAATCTACCAAAAACCAGGTGGAAGCTGGAGTCACATGACTGACCTACATTATAGGCTGGCTGTCTGTGGACGTAAAGAAATATGGTGGAATCAGAGAAACAGAGTCTCAATGTGTTTAATTGAAAATATAAAAGTAAACCTGCTGCTAAATGCAAAAGAAAAGAGAAAGATCTAGTAAGACAAGCATCAAGAATAAATATTGGAGACCAAGCAGGGCGGTAAAGAGCCATTAAGACGGAGTTTGACATTTAAACACGTGGCTTTTGAAAACATTCTGTCAGAACAGTTAGTTTAGTTTCATCATTTTTTCCAACTTAGTCTAAAGCGGACATGTTTTGGCTAACAAATACAAGCGTAAATTCATACCAACGAATCAAAACTTTCAAACTTCTCATTTTCTTGAGGCTCATTCGTTGACGTTGACATCGTGGACTTATTTTCACTTTGGCTCCATTTGTAGGTAAACAAACAAACATGGTAGTTGTCATTCTGACACAAACTTTGCTTACAATTTTTAAATTTAAGACATTAACCAATTTTGATGTGCAAAAAAAAAACTATGAATTTTGTTCATTACTTTATGAATATGAATTTAATTTATTTGACCGGTTTTGTTAACTTTGCCATGAGTACTTTAAACATTTAATTTAAAGTCAGTATAACAGTGGCTACTTGTACAGGCAAATCTTTAACGCCCCTGCTGTTCCTGGTTCAAAATGACCCTTGTTGGGGCCTTTTGATTTTAAATTGAAGCCTCAAGGACAAGGACAGCAGGAGGGTTACTACTTCTAAAGCACAACGAATCATGCATTTTGCTATTACAGTACCAGTAATTACATTTCTAGTATACATTTAGTAGGAAATTTACAAGCTTTGGTATCAATTTTGAGAAAAAGTAACCAACCATGCAGCCATTTCCATTACGAGTAATTTTTTTTTTGAAGGTCTAAATAGCTTAATACTGAAATGATCTTTGTGTGTAGCTGCACAAAGCAAGGTGTGGTAACTAACAGAGTCAAACCTTAATTTCATGATTGCCTGTCAGTTTTATTTACTTCCCAACACAAAAACAATTCATGCAACACTTGTGCTTTAAAGTCAGATGTCAGTGGTATGACAGAAAATGTGAGAAGCTGGATGGACAGAACAGAAAATTAGACACATTTGCCTTTACAGCCTAGTCGAAGAACATGTGTGTACTGTACCAATCAATTTATATCCAATATGAGCAACAACTCTGCAGGGCTAGTTGTGTAAAATCTGTTAATTATCAATCAACCTTTATTTATACAGGTAAATCCCATTGAGCCTCGAGGACTCATTTACAAGAGAGACCTGCAAGCACCAATTCACGTGGAGCACAGGTCAATAAGTTAAGACAACACAGCTGTATCTGCTTCACACAGATCAACCCAGCCAAACCCATAGTCTCTCCACAGTGCTGTCCACTTCCTTGCTGCTGTGATACACTCAGCCACAGTTTGCATGACTCCATTCATACTGGGAACCAACATCCTGCAGCTCAGATCCCAAATTAAATGATCTCAAACACAAAAATGCATCGTTGTGTATCGAGGGCCAACAGAGAAAACCTCTCAGGCAAACGGTGAGAACCAAACCTTAAGCAAAAAAATATTCACGTTCTTCCTTGGAGAGCACAGTGTGGGTGTTATTAAAGCCCAGACACAAAGGGCATCACCTCTCTGCAGAAACTGATTTTTTAACTTGTCAGCTTGTCATCTTGAGCATCTAAGTGAACTGGATGCCAAACATGCTTTAAACCTTGTCAAGCTGTGTTAGTGACACACGTCTTCAAAAACTCAGCGGCGAGCCGAAGCAGAAAGGTGCGTGGGTGTGGGTGCACCGGTTTGGTTTCCAAACAAGACAAAACACTTGTCTTAATTAATCTGAGCTAAGAACCATCTCCAACTTACCTACAACCATTAACGTAAACTCAAATCCTCGTTTTACCGACTTCCGATAAACCTGGTTGGGGAGATTCGCGAAGCCCACATAACCCTCCAAGTTCCGCTGCTGCAAGAGAACACAAAAACATCTTCGGTTTATTAAACAGCATGAAGAATCGAATAGGACACGTTCTCAAACTGCACAGGACAAACATCCACACAGAGCAGACATAAACAAATGCATTAAAAGGAAAAACATGAAGACGGATACAGAAATGTTAAAAATGTTAAAAGCTTGCTACTATTTTAAAACCTGTAATTAGCATTTTTCTCCCCTACAGGGACGAAGCCCCTTTGAACTAAAGTGCAGCTGGGGTAAATACGAGGGGGGTTTAGAAATTATAGTTTTTGTTAGAAAAGGATAAGAAAGATGGACTCAACTCCACCGAACTGAAATAAATAAAACTCATTAAATGAAAAAAATAATTTAAATACAGAAATGTGAATCAAAATAAAAGACAAGAAAAACAGAAAAAGTCCTACGTGTTCAGCCATATCCATTGTATGACAGGATTTGTTCAAAGCAGCTGCTTTGTCTTTTTACTACGAATGTATCTCTTCATCTCTTCCTCTGCTGCCCATCTCCTCCCTCTGAAACTGTCTTCCTGTCTGCTGTCATGATAACACCCCCCACCAATCACTGTGCAGTGTCCTGCACGCTACATGAGGCAAACACAATTGATTGTTGGCCTCTCAGGCTGTCATGCATGGCACAGATGGAAAACTGCAGCGATGTCAGGCCTGTAGATGGATATGGTTTAAAACTAAAACCACTGGGAGGGGATTAGATGCTCCAAGTTCATTTTGCAAACAAGACTCTTGTCACGTCACAACCAATGTACCCAGAATGTATCTACTATCTGTCCGATACGAAATAAATGAAAAACTACTTTTGGATAGAACATAATGCAAAAATAAAAGAGGCCAGTACTAAGTTGCACAAAAAAGTTATATTTATATATATAAAATAAGACTACTGACAAAAAAAAAATCCAACACTTTTCTATTTAAGTGAGACATTCAACAAAGACTGAACACATCAGCATTAACAAAAAGACTGCAGCAAACAAAGACCCAGTTTATTCACCTCATCAATACTCTGGTGCACACAGCTCAACAGCTGATGTAACGAGCCTGAAGCACTTTCCAACGTTTGATCCACCCACATTCTAACGACGGGTGTTACGTAAGGTGTCATATCTGATGTTTGGTTTGTTTTTAGTTTTCCTGCTGCTGCACTGGCATGCTTCTACCAGACAGGTCTTTTGACAGTTGAAAAGAAACGGTTAGCGCAGCTTGTCAGCACTTAGCTACAACCACATTCAGTGCATGTGTAATGGAGTCCTGGATGGTTGTGGCATGGATCAGGTGGTGTACTTTATAAGCAATGCCTGTCCGAGTAAATGAATTAAATCAATAAATAGATTACATCCTAAAGAACACAAGCAAAAACATTGTCTGTGTGGCACAAACTTGAAAAATCCCATTAATAATTATTATTGTCTCAAACTTAAAGTTGTTAAAAGAGCAGCCGACACACGAGTTAAAAAAAGGAAGATAATGGAGAAAAGGAGGCTAGTTAGTCCATACCATTCATGTGGACCCCTCCCCCAGTCCACCCAGTGGTGATGGTAGCTGCCTGGCTAACTGACATCATCCCCCATCCCCTCCATGCATCCAGCAGCTGATGCTGTGGCCTTCTTAATGCCTTCATTTACATAAATATGAATATTTCACCCGTACTGAATCACTTAACTGTGATCTTAACTAACTTAATCTTCTGTTATTTTTAGCACCAAACCCACAACTGTTTCCATCCAACTCTCAGGACACAGGCCACTGCCTCGTTACGCTGAGGAAAATCACTGCCATTCACCTCTAGCTTTATCAGCGACAGATGCAGAATGACAACAATGTGTTGCATGTAGTGTGGTGAGTAATCACTTGATGCCAATTTCAAGTGACATCATAAAAAGACTCACAAAAAGTAAGTGACATGGATGGAGGTGCTACTGAACGGCCCTGTAGGGTAAGGGACCATAGGCACAATTTACTGACAGACAAGTGTCCTTGCCTTCTCTAGATGTTGGGAAATGAAGCCAACAGAGTTTATGGAGGTTTTCATGTTGTATTTTTAGAACAAGCATCTGCACACTAAAATGTGGCGCTTTTAAGTTTTTACTCCCGATCCACACAATGAAGGTGTCACATGAGCTTTCTTTTAAGCAAGTAGCAACCAATTACAGACACGCGTGTTCGGAAAAAATATAATTTGAACATACAGCAGGAAGGTAAGAGCTACGTGAATCAATATTCAACTTCTGGGTCCATGTCAGAGGTCTATCCATAGTCTCTGTGCTGGAACCAGCCAAGAAGGAAGCTGGTCTCGGTTTGCTTCTGGGTCCTGGTTGGAGGTCTACCTCAATTCAGTCTTTGTGCAAGACCAAGTGATTGGCCCCTGAATTAGATCTAATAGCCCGTTTAGAAATTGTAAAATTTTGCCTACATTACAAAAAACAAGACGAAACAAACTCAAACGATCAAAAAAGCTTTGCAGAGAGTGGTGAAAGCTGCACAGAAGTCTGTTGGAGTCAGCCTCCCCACCATCACAGACATCTACAGCTCTAGATGCAGGAAGAGGGCCACCTGCATCATGAAGGACCCCACTCACCCAGCACACGCACTTTTTGCCCCGCTCCCCTCATGAAGGAGGTTAAAGGGCATTAAGTGCAGAACCACTAGACTGAGGAACAGCTTCTACCCTGAGGCTGTTAGACTCATGACTATCTAACCAGAAAAATCACATGTTGCGGTGTTCATGCGTGCTCATCTGCTCACACAGACTCATGTTCGTGCTGCTGTTCAGCGTATCGTGTTTGTTTTTATGCTATTAGTGCTTAGCGTATTTTTAGCTGATGCTTTTCCTAGTTCATATCTTAGATCTGATTACTGTTTTTCTTTTACATTTTATTGTTGGATGTAACTGGGACCCTGTGTACATCATTTCGTTCCACCACATGTACCACATGTGCAAATGACAAAGAAACTGAATCAAAGTAAAGTGACCAAAATGACAACAAAGCGGTGCAAACAGACCCATTATTGAAGCTCAAAAAGCAATTTGAAACATCACATAGGCAAAAGACAAGAAAATACCTGATTTTATACAGATGTGGTTTTTTTAAACAAATTAAAAGCCCAGATTTTAAAAAAAGATAAAAGTAGCTTTCAGTGAAACTGATGTTGCCCATTGTGAAAATTGTTTTTCTTGTGATGCTTTGACGTAGGAGAGCAAATACCAAATTTAAAGCAGTAAAATGAGAGAAGAGCAGTGGCATACTTTCACTGCTTACATGGTCTGAACAAGAATTTCTCCCAGCCCATCGTTCCCACTGCAGAGAGCTATAATTGAAACCAGACCAGAACCCCCTGATACGTGCTGTTCTGTAGGGAGCCCTGAACACAGCTCACATTCACATACTGCTAATGATATGGGACAATAAGTAGTAGTAAACAATATGGCCACCTTTACTTGATTGCTACTAATTACACATATGAATGAAGTCGGATCCCAAACCGTGTTTATGCAATTACTACTATAAATGGCGTGTTTCTGTGTGGTTAAAAGCATCCAAAACATGCAGGAAAGGGCTGCGTGGAGATTAAAGAAGGAACGAACTAGTCATAAAAACGTAAAGGATGGTATTTTAATTAAGACACTTGTTATTAGCTTCAGTGATACGGAAGTTGTAGTCTCTTTCATAAAGAAATGGACTTACAGCGATGCTGGGAACCGCGGTTTCTGGTCGCTCGATCATTTTGCCGTCACCACCCAGACTATAACGGACTCTCACCGAGGCATACACCGACAAAAGTGCGAACGACGGAGCGGAAAACGCTGCTTTCTTCTAAAATGACAGCTTAACGCGAACAACGGGCGTTAAAAAATGAATGAATGGGACTAAACTACACGCAGCCGCCGACCCATACAACAGAGTAACACACAGCTGAAGAAAATTACTCCCACAGCTGCGTTTCTACAGAACGCCGGAAGTGGACGGAATTTATACAAGCCCTCATCCGGTTAAGCGTTTCAAAATAAGAGAATCCAGCTCTTAATTAGGACCTCATTTTTTTTCATGAATTTGTCAATGAATAATCAAACAAATACATTTGATCTATTTACTGTATACAAGCTGACTTAATATTAACATTTTATGAAAGATGAATGTTTTTATTAGTTCCAATAAATTATATTTTTCATTCATTCAACTTTTATTTATACAGGTTAAGTCCCATTGAGGACTCATTTACAAGAGAGACTTGTTTTAAACAAAAAACTACAGATGAGGTACACACAGCAATAAACATTCATATAAAAGCATATAAAATGAAAAGTAAATAAAAGAAGTGATATACAAAAAAAAACTAAAAAAAACAATGCTGCATTAGTTTGAGGCAATCATGGCCAAAGTGGTTCAAAATATCCTGATGCATGCTCAATAATCCAGGTAGAAAAATGCTGCATTATCAAACGGTGTAAAATACTAAAAACAGGAACATGTCTGAACTGATTTTTGCATTGAACTCAACAGTTATTTAAAATCCCTTAGGGAGGTCAAAGTCGACAACTTCACATCTTTTTGCAAGGTGTTCCAGGTTACAGGTTCAGAGTAAGACAAAGCCCTTTTGCCAAATTCGGTCCACATTGAGGGGACACTGCTCGGTAATAATAATAATAATAATGTCATCACAATGTCAGCACTGTATGTTTCCATACAATGGCGAAATTAGTCTCTGCATTTAACCCATCCACCACGTCCTCTCAGTGTGGATCGAATTGGGCAAAAGGGCCTTCTCTAACTCTTACTCATTGCCCAATTTGCTCCAAAATCAGTTATCAAGGTGCCATTTGCAAAGTATGAAATCAAACAACACAGATAGTTATGAACTGTATCAAAAGGCAAAGATTGGTAGAGTTTAAATGTGAATCTGAAATCTGGGTATGCACTTAATGTAAACAAGGCACTTTGCTAATTGCAAAAAAGGGGAAAAGAACAAGAAGCACAATTGTCAAGAATGAATCACATATTTTTCTGACAAATGTTTAGATGAGATAATAATAGTAGACATGATACAGTTATGGTACAGATTTTGGTTTTTACTTTATGATTTTGAATGACTGGATTTATGACTTAAGTTTGCAATGAGTACCATCAATCAAATGTTTAAGAAAATGATCTGAGCAATACATTTGTATCAATAAAGAACAAAATCACTGCTTTTGCTGTGGAAAATATGGCTTTAATTTAAACAGACCATAAGTGGTGATATGTCCTAAATACTGTTAAGTTGTAACTTTTTTTTTTTCATTCATTCATCATTTTTTTTTATACAGGCTAGCCTCATTATGCCACGAGGACTCATTTGAAAGGGGGACCTGTTCCAGACAGAACATATAAAGTACAGACAACAATAACAGTAAGTAATGAAAACAATAAACTACAGTAAAAATACAGTTAAAATAAGAGTAGTGCATAAAACAATAAATCAGGGTGCCGTAAAACAGGGTGAAATACTAAAAACAAGAACATATTTTTCTATTGACATTATCAAATGCTTGCAACCCCTTAAAAAAATGAAAGTGGACAACTTAATAAGGTGGAAAACATAATTTCCCACATTATTCTCTAAATGTTGTTTAAGTATATGCAGCCTCGCTACGGAATTATTTTTTACAAAATTCTCTTCATTGGTCAGCGAGGATGTGAACATATTTTAATCTTTACCTTTTAATTCAGGAGAGAAAATATATATGAATATTATTACAATTAAATATGAAACAATAAGAACTGATATGATTGAAAATGAAACTTTAAAACAAGTTAGTTTCACATGCTGTGGTGGTACATTAAGAACAATTTAACTTGATTCAAATCAAAAGCAGGAAAATATAGTTTTACTTTGAAATTAAACACAACTGACTTCCTGGTTGACCCCTAAAGTGGTTGTGAGGCATTCAATGACTGTAGGCCAAAATATGTCGCCTTCATAAACGGTTGAGCGTAACAATGAAACAACAAAAGCAAAACAAAAAAGCAAAAATACGCTGTCAAATGAGCTTAAATCAGACATTTTCAGTAAAAAAAAATTAAAAAGACATAAAATCCAGCTTGCATCAATGTACAACCAATTGTACGTAGACATAAAAGAACAACAAGCATAAAAAATAAAAAAAAAAACACCAAAAAAAATCTACAATTATACAGAATAACAACTAATAGCTACTTTCTGTCTGTCTTGCTCTTGTATGAAAATAGAAGACCTTTGATTTTCAAACCAATTAATCCATTGTCTTAATTAATCAAGTTCATGGTCATCTTGTTCAGTGTGAATAAGAATAATCACTGGGTTGTAAAGTTTTTGAATAAAAAGCCTTTTTAGACTATATACACAAAAAATAGATTGTATGTACTGCTGTTAAATGAACCAAATTGACTCATCTGCGGAGCTGTTAGGGCAAAATTAGTGCAAAACATACTGAGGCTGAGGAGCGAATTACTATGACCCATAAATGCTTAAAGATCCAGTTGCGCACCCTAGCGTCAAGAAAAGTAACTGTTTCCAAATGGTTCTGAAAAGTTCTGTATTTTATGAGAGATTAAGAACAGATCATAAGATCAAAAATAAAACTGGCTTGTCACAGAAGCTCTAATTAATTCTAATGACACATTATATCTAATTTTGTTTTATTCTTCTTTCGGCTGCTCCCTTCTTCAGGGGTCGCCACAGGGAACTAACTCGCATGAAGACTTGGTTTTACTCCGGATGTCCTTCCTGACGCAACCACAGACCACCGAGCTACCACAGCCTTCTGTGTGGAGCAGAGAGCTGTCAACTAGGGCACCCGGGGGAGCAGATAGTGGGGGTTAAGGGGCTTGCTCAAGGGCCCAGAGTGGGGCGAACAAGGGTGGAAGCAGGCGAGGGTGCTTCATCTTTCCCACCCACATTTTGAGGTTATTGATCAAAGAGGCCCACCTTCTCTAACCTCTGTGTCCCCCTAAATGTATTTATAAATAAATGTGCATAAACATCAATTTCTGCTATTTTTAATACAGAATACTAAACGTTATAGAGCAGTCACACCCAGATATAACCCGAAGTAAATCCCTTTGTGAAAAAGACATGTTGTCATCAAGTATTAGGGTTGAGGGCATTAGGAACAATATGTGTCATTGAGGGCAAGGGGGTCCCAACACTCCCAGCAGGAGGCACCACTTGGTCTGGGACAGAAACCAAAGTCACATTTTATTTAATAATTTAAGAGAAACAAGAGGATGATAACCATTGTGGTCAAGTAAGTTGAAAATGCCATTTTTGTCCTTTGTCTGAAGCTTGTTTTGTCTCCGCCTGCTGCGTTTATGTGTGAATGTTACAGAAGCTGCATACCGTATGTGCGTTTTTTGCAAAGCTGATGCTGAGGCAGAGCAGATATGGGTCAAAATGATGCTCAAGATTTGGAGTCCAAGCCAAATGCTGCATAGTATTTTTTTTTAGCAGGGGTTTATATTTTATTTCAGTTTCCTATCATAGATGAACTAAAACAATGAGATTTAAAATAAGGCCAGGGTCAGTTAAAATCAGAATTCTCAAAAAGTGTAAAAGGCTGATCTGTTTGTAAAGGTTGCCAAGCCTTTCCGAATGAATGCTTTTTAAAAGTTTGACGAAAGTAATAAGAATTGGATCTAAAACTGGAAAATTTTTGAAGCCAGCCTAGTTTAAGATGGTCTTGAAAAAAAGCAAAAAATATCTTAAAGTTAGACCATTTGACAAATTTGGAGTGGTAGTAGCTGAGACTGATCCTCAACTCACATTTCAATCGCTAACAGTTTGCATAAGATCTTTGTTTAACACTTTTCCGTTATTATTTGGAGTCACCTCTGTGTTTTAGTAAAATATCTCGTGAAACACCACATTGATTTTAATGAAACTTTCAGGAAATGGTCCTAGGATATAGATTTAAAACTGATTAACCTTTAAAGCCAATTTAAGAAGGACACCACAAATAAAATACAACAGTTTATTACATTTAGTCAGTTTTACAGATGTTTTGTGTCACATCATTGCCTAACATTAACATGGTGGAGTCAACTTTTTTTTTCTGTTTGCGAAATGTAATATTAATAAAATCATTTGTAGGTTAAATTGGCTTTCTTGGCATTAAATAAGCAACCCAAAAATATAATTTAAACTCAAAAAAGAAAATAAACGCTTTACTTTGACTTTTTCTTTTGCTTTAATTTGATAGAACCACAAACATATAAAAAAACGAATAATGTGGTAAATTGCAATACATGTCTGAACAAAGTGTAAAAAGCACATATAAACAACAATTACTTTAAATAAAATTAGAAAAGAAAGGATAAAAACGTTTTGTTGCACATGAACTAGTGCTGTAGCTTATAAAATACTGATGACACCATGTGAAGGTTTGTTCTTTTACAAATAATGTACTTTTTAATAATTACACTGGAAAGCTTACAGTGTTGATAATCAGACTTTAAGTGTTAAAAGCAAAACTACTTTTGTTACATATAATAACAATAATATGTTAGTTTAAAAAAAAAAAAAAGCCTCCATGAGAAGAAAATAAAATCCAATCATCTCATCGTGATGATCTACCACAAAATATAAGAATATTTGGTTACATTTTTAAAAATATATAAAATAAAAAGCACATTACTTGCTCATAATTTGACAACTTTACAATGAGCAAGGCCTCTGCAGGTTGTTTGCACGTTTACAGGTTGGTGGTGTCTCCTGGAGTGTTTTTGGTGTCCAGGTAGCTGATGAGCTCCTTCACCCAGGGCTCTGAGGGTCTGACACACAGCTGGCCGGCCTTTGTTTTCAGCCTGAATAAAAGAGGAAGAACTGCACGTCAGAAGCACATCCAGTGACGATGATGACGCACTCCTCTAATAATGAACACTTACAGGATGGCAGGGTTGGAGCAGCGCTGGCTGGTCTTCATGTAGCCGACCACTTTTTCTTTCGACACCTGTTTGTTGTTGAAACGAAAGCAGCATTTCTTTGGGCCGACTCCCCGCAGACCTGCACAGAAGCAAACATCTCAGATACAGACTCAATAAATCACGAGGTTCCTCCATTCCTCTTTTAATTTCCTGCTGAAGGCTCACACTTCTATTTTTAGCTGAACAGATTATGTTGTCGCTTGTTGAACCGAATTAATAAAACTCCTCCTATTTATTTGATTTTAAACTGTTATCTTAAAGCTTGCATCGCTACATTTAAGTCAATTAAGCAAGTTAAAATGATTAAAAAAAACTACTGTAGTATTTTTATTGAATGATGACAACACATTATATTTCTCTTAACAATTACAGCATAAAACAATCCAATTCGGTTTTTTTAAATTTTACATCTAGTTTTGTTTCTTTAAATCATCTGAAGACTCCAAACTTGATGGTTTGTGAGCCATGGTGGGTATGGAGATGCTTGAATCTATTTAACACTTTTAAAATGTTATTAACCTAACTGGGTTTTTTTTTCCCATTAATTATTGAAGTTTTGAAAAGCAGGAGTTTGAGAAAATAATCTAAAACACTTTTAAAGGCTTTCCAAAGAGCAGAGGTACGTTTGTGTTGAATAATTATTATGAACTAACAAACTCACTTTGCAAAATTTTACCAGTTATTTGTTTTATAATGCAAAATGCAGCTGCCACTTCTTACAGAAGCCAATAAAGTTGTACATGAAACACATCTGGGGGTAAAATCACTCATCTGGGCACCACCTTATTTATTTACACATATTTTCAAATTTTCTGTAGATACATCTTTGCAATTTTCCATGGTAATAATGTGCTTTTTTTTTTCCTATATCTGTTTAATAGTAGAACTTTTATAGCTCATCATGTTAAAATATGCATAAAACAAGATTTTGGTCGAAAATTGTATGTGCATCTATTATTAACATTTAACTGTTTTACAGAATACTGAAAAATAGTGCGGTTATATTATTTATATTTTAGAAATACTAGAATTTTGACATCATTTGACCCACGCAAAATAAATGTATTAAATCTGATAATCCTGAATTAGACCAGCATCTTTTAAACACCATGATGTTTTGTTATAATGTACACCGTTACCATTGATTTGATTGTTTTTCATTGTAAGGATGTATCTTACCTTCAGTGAGAGCAATGCCCGCCAGCATCACAACAACCACAGACAGAGTGAGACGAGCCATTCTGACAGGTGCGTTTGTTGCTTCGCAGGTAAAAGTGTCGGCTGAGTTCAGCTTCTGCTGTGGACTCCATCTGCCTCCACATTTATACAGACACGACCGAGTCGGGGAAGACCCATCATTCCATCCTAACTTTTTTCTTTGTATGTTTCTGACGAAGGGGATTCACCTTGTGACGTTGGGCTCTCATGTTGATCCGCTTACTTTTACTTCCTCAATAGTAAACTTAACACAAGGAATGACGTGGTTCCCCTTTTCATTGTGTTTGACATGATGACTGTAGTTTCTGCGTGCTGCTCTCTGTCACATGATGTTTGCAGAAAATGCACAGTCCAAACTTCTTCTGCGTTAATGACAGCAGAGATTCAACGAGTAAGGCCACGTGTTTGGTTGATGAAGGGCTTGTAGAAGAGAGAGGGAATTCCAGAAGAAAACAAAACTTCCAGGTAGAAGAACAGGTCCGACTGACAGAACCCCTGAAGAGTGACCTGGTTGACTGGTATGTGGTTCAGTAGTTAGAAAACCAGTTTGGGCCCTATGAAGGACTTTCACATGGAGGGAGCTGCACGCCAGTTAACAGCAGAGGTCTGCATAAGTTTTAATGCAAATGTGAAGAGACATAAAGGAGTTGTTCTGATTACCATTACAAGTTTGTTTCCACTTCATTTGAACCTGTAATCAAATATATACAGTACGAATATATTTTCAGTCTGGCAGATTCAACTGCGCTGTGGTTATTGTGGTTTGTTATATAATTTTGTCATATTTAGAGATCTGCAGGGTTAAAGTTAAAGTAAACCTGAGATCTGATACAATTTGCACGATGACGCGTTAAAACAGTGCATTCTCCAAATTTAAGTCAGAAACGATCCAGTTTATTTATGAGCATGAAAGGGGTGAGTGCTCTGCAGAGATTTTCTTTTATCAGGACAACTACGAGGTCACACGTGCACGTCTGTTTGGAGTTTCCAACTTCCTGTTGGAGGTTTGTTTGAGGCTCTTTGGTCACTCCTGAAAGTTCCCGTCCTTGTGTTGACTTCGCCTTTCACCATGTTTTATCAGGGCAAACGTTCTGCAGGTTGAAGCCAAGTGCTTTTTTTTTTGTTTTTCGTGCAGATGTTTCTAAAATATAGATTATATAAAGTGTGCAGAGATTTATACGAGACGTGTTTGTTTTTTTTTAACATCCAGTGATATTGCATAAAAAGAATTTGACTTTTAAAATGTTATTTCTAAAATAAACTAAATTAAAAATAGAATTATCACCAACAGTGATAAAACTAACACAAAATGTCTAAGAATAAAAAAAAGTGTGGAAAATAACATTTTGAAGAAATAGTTAGGTAATTATTAAGACGTTAAGGTTTAACAATATGAGACGATTAATCAAGAATTAATCGAACAAGAATTATTTAAATTTTAATCTGCGCGGGAACTCCAGATTATTTGATAAATAGTTGACTTTGAAATTTAGATGAAAAAATTTCAATTTGGTCAGATTATCAGATTATTTTTACAACATTGAAAGTAAGTCAAGTACAAGTGCATCATCTTAAAATGTTACGATCAGACAAAAAAATTCCTTTATTGTCACCAGGCCTCAGCTCCTTACTGGGTCGACGCTGCGGGCCAAAGATCACTCCATCTTTCTGGGGTTTTTGCCGGCACCACGATGAGCAGACGAGTCAGGCCAGGGGTCAGTACTCTTCCCAGGAGCCAGGAGCCCCAGTGAGGGCTTCAGGGGTCAGCGAGGAAGCAGCTGGTGAGAAGGTCAGCAGGCAATCGGCCATCCTCCGTCGGCTTATCTCAGAGCTGTAAAAGTCTCGAAGTGAAGGTTTTATCTTCTGAAAGTAAAATTCTCTGCCTGCAGGATCAATGGTTCCCTGTTCTTCAAATGATGGCACATAATGTGCAACGTCTTAAAAACTGAGCATTCTCTCTGGATTACAACTCCTTTTTCTTCACGAGTTAAGATCGGACAATATAATAAAAACAACAACCCAGGTTGCTGGTTGCTGCCCCGTCAATCACACGTTATGAGGATGGTGTAGTTCAGGGGTCTGCAACCTTTTTGATCAAAAGAGCCGTTTCTTCTTCGCTCTCTAATAAAATGTGTCTGGAGCCACAAAACCTGCTACAACTGTGATTCTCAACTGATGGCCCATGGGCCACTGAGTTTGTTGGTGGGGGGCTTTTCTGGCCGGTGGGGGTGACATTATAAAACTCAAATTATATCATGAATTTTAAGATTTATTGATATTTTTACATTTGAAGACAAATAAAGTCCATATCATGTAAAGAAGGAAATTAACTATAGTTTAAATTGATTTTGATAAAAATTAAAACACTGAACTCTGCAGGCCTATGTGAGGAATAATAATCAGGTGGGGCTGCAGTAGCTCAGTGGCCAGTACTGCGGGTTTGTAGCCCTGAGGTTGAAAGTTCAAGCCCAGGTTGCATCAGGAAGGACATCCAGGGTAAAACAAACTGCCAACTCTTTCATGCGAGTGGTGACCCCTGAAGAAGGGAATAGCTTAAAGAAACACTACTTCAACAATTTCCTGCAGGATCAATAAAGTTCTTATCTTACTAGTTATCGGGTAAAAATTTGATAATAATTTGCCAAAACTAGTCTTTTCTGTTGTGGGTATAAAAATCAATACAATTAAATTTCATTAAGTTTTGGAAAAAAACGTCAGAGTCGGTGAAGAGGGACTAAAGAGCCACATGTGGCCCCTGAGCCGCAGGTTGCAGACCCCTGGTTTAGTAGTTTTTGATTTGCAGCCACTTCTGTATTAGCTTTGTGAGCTCTTAGCTAAGTGTTGCCCTTGTGTTACGCTTGTCAAATCCATTGAGTTTTGTTTCGCCAGCACAACTTTAAGCTTGTATCCACTTAGAACATCAAGAGTTTTAGCAGCAAAGCAATTGGACATTAGCTCTCAGACATTTCATCTTCTTTGGAAGTTTAGAAAAATCACAGATTTAAATAGAGGATATTCTCAGTCAAACATCAAACACAAGAGTTTTGCATTGCTTTTTTTGTAAAATCTATAAATCAATGACATTCTTATTATTGTCCAAATGCAGGTAAATATTAGAACCATTACTCATTTTCAATTTTTTTGTAGTGTCACCATCTCTGAATGAGAGCAGGCTGATGTAAATTTGTTATGAATAAATTCACAATTTTCCATCATGAAGACTCAAATTTGTGTCCAGGACTAAAAATGCGTCACAGAGGTAAAAATCCTACATTTCCCACAATGCAAAAGAGTCGTTTGGTCTCAATCTAAATATTTACATAAATCTGTTCGTAAAACCATCCATCCATCCATTTTCTTTGCCCGCTTATTCCATTTTGGGTCACGGGGGTCGCTGGTGCCCATGTCCAGCAATCACTGTGCGAGGGGCGGGGTACACCCTGGACGGGTCGCAAGTCCATCACAGGGCCACATAGAGACAAACGAGACAAACAAACATTCACTCTCTCACTCACACCTAGGGACAATTTTAGAGTTACCAATCAGCCTAACATGCATGTTTTTGGACTGTGGGAGGAAACCGGAGTACCCGGAGAAAACCCACGCATGCACGGAGAGAACATGCAAACTCCACCCAGAAAGGCCCCTGGACCGGGGTTTGAACCAGGGACCTGCTCGCTGAGAGGCAGCAGCTCTACCAGTTGCGCCACCGTGCTGCCTGTTCGTAAAACCATCTTTTTTTTTTTAATTACTCGTTGTCACCCAAGCAAAAATTTATAAAATTATATTTGTAAAAGTGAATGAAGCCCTCCCCTCCACACACACACACACACACACACACACACACACACACACACACACA